AGGGATTTGTAGTTTGTTGCAGGATCAGAACTCTCGGACAGAGAAGGCTAACTAGCTCACAAAACTACAAATCTCAGCATTCCATAGCATTGAGCCACAGCAGTTAAAGCAGTGTCAAACTGCATTAATTCTGCAGCGTAGGTGCAGCCTGTGTTTTCCAACCCTCCTTTACCATCCTCCTAGTATCAGTGTTACTAAAAAAAATATCTAGCTAGAAAAAGGACAAGGGGCTAAAAGAGCAGGATCTGTCTGAGTGTAAAAAAAGCTTTGTAAATAGGAGCATCTTTGTCATAGGACGTTATCACACGTGGGCCAGATAATAAAGTGGAAATGAGGCATTCTGAAAATAAACTGAAAATAAACCTTGATTCCGCAAATGGAATTACCTTAATTGCGAAATTAAAGTAAGCGCATTTAACGTTCACACACAAGTGAGAAAAGCCCGTAAATGTACTAGAAATGATCTTCTTGCACATGCGCAAATAGAGGAATACTCGCTGGAACCATGGGAAAAGCAGGGAAATGCTCCCAAATGTGCATTTGCTTTTCACATTACGGTAAATGCGAAATTACTGTAATTTCGCAAATGCATTTCCTCAAAACTACTGAATTTCAAAAGATCTCGGATAACACCAGTTTCTGTCCAGTTTCTGTGCGACGTCATGTGAAATCGTGAGACACAAATCCAGTTTCTGTTTGGGATTTGTGTGGATTAACTAGCAGATTTCCCCCGTGTGATAACATCCATAGGCTTTGTTCACTGAGTTATGCTTTTACCAGGAGAAATGACCCAGAAAGAAGGGGCCATGGATAGTCCTTTGAATGAACACCAGAACTGGCTGAAGAGACCCTTGCAAAGGCAGAAAATTGGACTTGAATCCCATTTTGGGAGAAAGGTGGGATATAAATCCAATCAATCAATCAGTCAATAATTGCTTTCTTCTCTCCTAATCCTCTGGCAGATTAGAATAATAGCTGACTTTGCATTGTACATTTGGTGATGTGTCAGTTGTTCTTTTGATATCTTGGGTCAGTTGTGCAACGTTGCCCTTTCATATAAGAGTTGCATGGGGCAATTGATGTGTAATGTGGTTTTCAGACTCTTCCATGGACCTGGGCCTCTTTCACACTGCACTATTAGAGCATTATGATTCCACTATAACAGCCATAATTCCATTTTATGCAATCCTAGGATCTGTAGTTTAGTTAGGAGGGATATTTTAGAATTCTCTGCCAGAGAGCTCTAGTACCATGCCAGATTGCAAACCCAGGGATTTCATAGGAATCAGCCAGGGCAGTCACACTGGGCTCACAGTGCTATACAGTAATTGTGTAGTCTATAAGGGCTGCTGGTTGCTATTCTTTGGATGTACCCCAATTCATCACTGTTTTTAAAATGGGTTAAGCAGAATAATCTCAATATTCCAAATGTGAACTGACTAACCCAGAAGGGTTTTATCTCCCTCTCTGCCACCTCAGGCCTCTTAAAGGTTTATGTGCACTGCATAATTTTAGCACTGTTAACTGCAATTAACAGAAATGAGGCAGTGTGAGACGCTTTAACTGCCCTGGTTCAATGCTATGAAATTCTGGGATGTGCAGTTTTGTGAGCTATTTAGCCTTCTCTGTCAGAGTGCTCTGGTGCCACAACAAATTATAAATCCCAGGATTCCATAGCATTGTACTGTATAACTCTTATTTAAAAGGGAACCATCCCCTGGTGAAAGGCAAGACTATGGAGCTTATCATACCAACAAATCCCAGTTGCGGGATGCAGGCGAGTATTGTATGCAAGTCACTGTCAATTCCACGTGGCAAGTGCAACCTGGTGGCATCCCGGGTCCCAGGTGTGCTTCGGAGGCCACTTTTCAAAGCTGGGAGCTTGCCGTCTTTAAAAAGCATCCTCTGAAGTGCGCCTGGAGACCAGGATGCCCAAAAGCCTGCCCTTGACTTGTACATGAGATTAACTTAGAGTTGAGTATATACAGTAAGTGAAGTAAGCTGAGGACAAAGGGGGGAGGAATGAGAGGAGGAGAGAGAAACTGGGACATTTTAAATGCAACTGAAAATGTGGGATGACAGAGGATTAATTAGGACTGCTTCTACCAAATTGGGACAGTTGGGGGGTATGTACACATTTGGTCTCAGTCTTGCAGAGCATCCTCCTCCTTCTCATCTGGATCTCTTAAATGACCACAGGTTTAGGCAACCTGAAACTTCAAAGAAAAAGGGAGAGTGATTGGCATCCTTCAGCGTTCCTTTCTCTCCTCCTGGCAGTCTTCTGAAGAATACAAGATGTTTTGCACTAATTGTGTAACCTGCACAATTTCGGGATGCCTTTAAACACGCTGCCAGGAACGTTAATTGTCTGGGTTTCTAATGCAGTCTTTTGCCATCCTCTCTTTGAACTCAGGAAGACATCTGTAAAAACCGTTTGAGAAAAAAACCACGTGGGCATGAAGGCTGAACATTATTATGATTACTCATTTTGCCGACAGCTTCCTTCTGGGAAGCTGGAGCAAATTGGATCTCAAAAGAAGCATCTCTTTTTGTCTTGCTAATGGAACTATATAGCTGAGCCGGCCTATATGAAAGACCCTTCAAAACCACCTGAACTGAGAACAGCAAGAGCTTCAAAATGCAGGCTTGTGGCTAACATCGTCTTAATTTTTCCCCCTCCTGTGTGATTTTTAACATCTTTGCCTGATGAAGAAGCCAGTGGAGCTTCGAAAGCTTGCAGCATGTTTTTGTGCATTTGGGTTGGCCAATAAAGGTCTCCCTGTTTTGTGCATTTTGGATGTTCCCGTACTTTGCTATATGGCCAACACAGCTATCCCCTGGATAAGTTTCCTTTCCTTCACCCACTCATCCCAAATTATATTAATGTTCTTCCTCTCCACAGTCAAGAGCAAAGTCAAAGTGGGCAAACTTTCCCCAAAAAAATGTCCTCTAGAGGACACAGGAACATCCTCACCATTCTCCCCATCCGACAATTTTTAAGGCATTAAAAAACAAAGAAGAAATGAATAGGAAATGATCCACTACAGCCAATTCCTTTTGGGAGGAAAGAGTCTCTCAATGTGTCATAGCCGTTTGAACATTGGACTACAACTGTGGAGACCGGGTTTCGATTCTCTGCTTGACAGGGGATATATTTATGTATTTATAATAGATTTATAAATATATTTAATGTATTTATTTGAATATGATGTGCCAGTGTGGTGTAGTGATTTATAACCTATTTCTACATATATTTAATGTGCTTATTTGTATATGATGTGCCAATGTGATGTAGTGATTTGAGCAATCGAATACGATCCTGGAGAAATCTTGCCAAGAAAACCCAATGATAGGTTTACCTTAGGCTCCCCATAAGTTGGAAACAACTTGAAGGCACACAACAAGAAGAAGAACATGAAAATCTCATCTTCCATCGCTATTCCATGCCATCTCTGATCACCCGCCCTAAAAATGTCATTGCATTAAAGTCAACAGTATCCCAGCACTGTATCATCATGGCCTCTGCTGCTGAAGAAAGACTATTCTTGAGGACACACTGACATGCCCACTGCCCTTGTATATTCAAGTTTATCTACAGGGTCATGAGAACTAGGAACTTTCTATTTTGAAAAAATCCTCCAGGGCCCTATTCAAATGTTATTGTATCTCACACATTCCAGTTTTGTTTTTCTTATGAGAATTGCATCTCTACGCATCTCTGCAAGTTCAGTTGCTCATACATGTCAGCACTCAAATAAAGATGGAGTCGATGATGTGGATGTATTCAAAACACATTCAAGATATGCAGAGTTTTATCCCCGTTTATTCTGGGTCTATTTATATTGGTTATTCGCACAGCTGACAATATTAATCTTTTAGGAAAACCCGTGGGTTATTCAGACAGTGAAAATAATCCAGGTAAAATCTGGGTTAAATCTTTGTTGTGCACATGCATTTCAAATGCATTTGATTAAATTTTTTTTGGGGGGGGGGCTACAAAAAAAACCTCCACTTAACCCAGAATATTCTAAGCTGTGTGAATCAACAAAGCAAATAGACCTGGGATAAATTGGAATAAAACTTTGCATGCCTTGAATGCACTTTGAATTCATTTGCATCATCAACTCCCATCTTTTTTTGAGTGCTGACACATATGAGCGACCGAACCTGCAGAGATGCGCAGAGATGCGGGTCCATAGTGTGAACAACAAACCCAGAATACATGAGTGAGATTATTCACATCATCAGACTAAAAAACCCTGATATCTGAATAAGGGGGGGGGGACCAAGATCGATTATCCCAGGTTAAGTAAAGGCTTTGTTTTGTTTTTGGCAGCCCTCTTTGCAAACTTAATCGCATTCGAAATGCATGCGAACAACAAAGATTCAACCCACGTTCTACCGGGATTATTTTCACCATCTGAATAACCTCCAAAATGAGGATTATAATCCCGGTGGGTGCAAAGCAAGCCCTGTTTCCATCCAGAAAACTATCCGACTACCTGAATGACACCTTTTTCTCACTCTCCCCCAGCAACACAGGTGTCACTCGATGTGCCAGAAGAGAAGTGACAGCGTTGGCATAGTTGATCCAAGCATCATTGGGGTAGCAATTTGGCACATTCAGTCCTTCTGACATGAGATAATGAATGCCATGCTTCACCCGGAGCTATTCCTAGAGTTGTTCGCACACCAGGAAACTGGGAGACAGGCTAAGGCTCCCATGTTTATTTTGGAAAAGGTGCTGATAGGCGAAGAATGGAAGTGAGCTGAGAAAGTGCCCCAAGGATACTGGCACCAATGGCATGTCTGCCAATTTCAAGCATCCCACTCATCACAGAGGATCGAAAGAGACAAAGAATAAAGTGGAGCCTGGCATAAGAACAGAGAGTTCATCATGCTAGAAATATATCTCCATCTTTGGGTCATTGTTGTTTTTTAAATAGAAGATTTCTAGTCATGACTATGGAGACAAACTCAAATGTATGGGGACAGCGAGAGCCAGTGTGGTGCAGTGGTTTGAGCGTTGGATTATGACTCTAGAGATCAGGATTCAAATTCTGCTTGGCCATGGGAAGCCACTGGGTGATTCTGGGCAAGTCACGCTCTCTCAGCCTCTGAGGAAGGCAAGGGCAAACCCCCTCTAAACAAATCTTGCCAAGAAAACCCCATGGTGGGTTTGCTTTAGGGTCGCCATAAGTCGAAAATGACTTGAAGGCACACAACAAATGGAAGCAAGGGTCCGAGTGCTGGATTACGGCTCTGGAGACCAGGGTTCGATTCCCAGCTTGGCCACAAAACCCACTGGGTGACCTTGGGCAAGTCACACACTCTCAGCCTCAGGGGGAGGCAATGGCAAACCCCCTCTGAAGAAACCTGCTAAGAAAACCCCATGATAGGGTTGCCATAAGTTTTAAGCGACTTGAAGGCACACAACAACCTATTTGCCCTCATTCTTTACAACAACAACAGCTAACCAAAAGAAATAGAGACACTAAAGTGAGATATATAATATAATTTTATAATAATATAATAATAATGTATATAGATAGAGCCAGCCTAGCATAGTAGATTGAGCGTTACACTATGACACGAGACCAGGGGTTTGAATTCCGGCTCAACCATGGAAACCCACTGTGGGCAAGTCACACTCTCTCAGCCTCAGTAGAAGGCAATGGCAAATCCCCTCTGAAGAAACCTGCCAAGAAAGCCCCATGATAGGCTCACCTTAGGGTCATAAATCAGAAACAACCTGAAGGCACAAAACAACATTTTTTGCACATCACCTTTTTACCTGGTCCTGGTGATTCTGCTCCTTTTGGCTTGCCTCCGCCAGGGAGAATAATCGGCATCCGTCCTGAGCTCTTTATGCCTGTGCCAAGTCTGACTTGGCCGCTGTTAGCAAAACCTGCCGCAGGAAATCCTGTATTAAAGGAGTCAGAGGCAATGTGGAGCTAGAAACTCATTAGCGCTTCCTGAACCATGGGCTCACTCCTTCCCAATGAGGTGTAATGCAAGCCCCAGCTGTGCAACAGCTGGGCAGGAAGCAAGGCCTGTGTGTGTACAAACATACAGTGACTTCATTGCTCCCAAAGAAGCAAAGCATTTGCAGTATCCCGGCTCTTTTCTGTTCTTCATCTTGGGATCTCCCCTGTGGTGTATTGTTTTGAGCACTCGACTATGACGCAGGGTTTGAATCCCTGCTTGGCCATGAACCCAGTGGGTGATCCTGGGCAAGTCACACTCTCTCAGCCTCAGGGAGAGGCAATGGAAAACCCTCCTCTGAAGAAACTCATTGAGGAAACCCCATGGCCTTTGGGTCACCATACGTCGGAAACAACCAGAAGGCACACAACAGTTGCCATACATCAAAGTATAATCCGTATTTGCTCTTGTTCTTTATCCATAATACCAATATAAAATTATTTCTAGTAACATCAGAAAAACTACTTCTAAATTCTCAGTCTTCTTCATCTTTGCTATTAATAGAGTAGCCACCCAGGAAAACCTTCCACTTTCCCCTTTTTTAAAAAATAGTGTTTATAACCAAGAACATGGGGCCTGGATTTTAAATGGGCGCATGGCACTGGCATCAGGCTGGCATCACAAGGATTAGTCAGAGGGCAAAAATATGATTTAATACGCACTTAACAGATTCGATATGATGTAAGATCCTAGAGAGATTATGATTTGCCAAAAAAGCCCTGGTCCCAGGAGAGAAGCATTTCCCGACTATGGATGAAAGTGACCCTCTTCTGAAAACAACACACCGACTCTAGGCTTCTAAATCTGTCCGACTTGGTGGAAATGCTTGATAAGAGAAGGAGTGACAGCAAGCTTTATTAAACATTGGAAAGCTCTAATAGTCTATTTAAACCAAAATTGGGGGAATTTAATATACTATAGGTTTTCAAGATTAAAATGATGTCAAAGGGGTGCATGGATTAGACTGTGTAAAAATGTATTACTGACTGATATTTTCTCTGCAGGGGTAAAGATTTAAGACTTAAAAGTGACCATAGAGTTCTTTGAGGTGGAAGAATATTGAAGGTAAATGTTTTCAATCAGAGGCAGGGGATCATAAGAAAAATATACTTAATAGAAACGAAAGCTAGGTTGAATTATGTAAAACCAATATCCAGAATGTAGGAAGTATGGTTTAAGGAAAATTTGTGTGTAAGTGGTAAACATGGAGATAGTGTTGTTTGGTAAGATATTACTAACATATTGTATAGTAACATATATATGTCTGTGTACATAAATGTGGCTGTGTGTATGTGTGTATATACACACATATGTGTGTGTGTGTGTGTGTGTGTGTGTGTGAGACTACACAATGATATATATATATATATATATATATATATGTTTTAATATCTGTCTATCAACTAGTGACCCTCTTCCCTTTCCTCTCCCATTATTTTATTGGTTGGGGTTTTTTGGTTAACTCTTTCAGTGTTTATTTCTATATCTTTCCCTCTTTTACTGGATCAGAGACAGACAGTAATGAACACAGAAAAGAATTTAGAAGTGGGAGGCCAAGTCCCTGGTCTATTTTCAATAGCACTTGTGGTGTGCCTTCATGTCATTTCCAACTTATGGCAACCCTACGGTGAACCCATCATAGGGTTTTCTTAGCAAGATTCTTCAGAGGGGGTTTGCCATTGCCATCCTCTGAGGCCGAGAGAGTGTGACTAGCCCAAGGTCACCCAGTGGCTGAGCTGGGATTTGAACCCTGCTCTCCAGAGTTATAGTGCATATACGGCACCTAAAAGCCGGGATTCAAACCCTGGTCTCAGTAGATTACTTGATAAAGAGTTAAATGTGCCAAACCAAAGCAGGCTGTCTCCAATGGAACAATTGTTCCTATTCCTATCCTGTATGAACTGCAGACTCCTACGTTAGGCCAAAATCTTCCTGATCGTAGGAAGGTCCTCAAGTTCCAAATAAACCCACCTTTCTGCACCATTTCTTGCAATATATGTCCTCATGGTGGTGATGGGGCGATATACTACACATTTGCTATGCGGATTGATTGAGAATTCCTGCATCCTCACCGTGGCATTAAGCAGCATTCACTGTGTGAGCCAGGAGCTTTTGTGTAATGAGTTTTCCCACTCACAAAATGAAATGGGCCAGATAGGGAGGGAGGTGTTATTTCACTCCTTTTGTTAGCAGGGACCTCTTTTCTTTGTTGTTGGAAAGACCAGTAAAAAATCTGGCAATGGTGCCCTATGCCATTGTTGCATCTTGGTTGGATTATTGTAATGCACTTGGTTCTGGGGCTGTCTTTGGAAACTGTTTGGAAACTTCAACAGGTCCAAAGTGCTGTGGCCAGAGAGTGTGCTGTTGTTAACTGCCTTCGAGTTGACTTCGATTTATGGCAATCCTGTGAATGAAAGACCTCCAACACCTTCTCAGGTCTTGCAAACTCAGAACTGTGGCTTCCTTGATTGAGACTATCCATCTGGACGGCATCTGCACTGCAGAAATCATCCAGTTTGACACTACTTTAACTGCCATGGCTCAATGTTATGGAGTTCTGGGACCTGTAGTTTGTTGTGGCATCAGAACTCTCTAACAGAGAAGGCTAAACTTGAGTTCTCTCAAGTTTACAGTATTGTTGTACTGTATTGTATATTATTTTGTATTGGATGTTATTTTAATTTATATGTCTTAACTAGTCTCGGTTTAATACTTTTTTAACAGGGGTGGGTATTGGGTCTTTCTGGTTTTATATTGTGTGTAATTTTAATTGTTGTTAGCCGCCCCGATTGTTCTCAGAGGGTACAAATTATTATTATTATTATTATTATTATTATTATTATTATTATTATTATCAAAATCCCATAGCACTGAGCCATGGCAGTTAAAGTGATGTCAAACTGGATGATTTCTGCAACACGGATGCAGTCCAAGTCTATGAAAGTTTATGCATCTTTTGCTAGGTCTCTAATGTGCTACAAGATCCCTTTGCATACTGATATTCCAGATTAACACAGCTATATCTCTGCATTCCATTTACACATAATATTTAGAGATTTTAATCCCAGCTGCATAGCTTGTCTACAGGATCATCACCCTCCCTTCTGCAAAGTGAGTTTATTTTTAAATGCAACTGTATCCCTCCAGCGACAAGTCACTTCCAGGATAACCTTCTGGCTGAGGCTAGAGAGGAAATTAAAACCAAAAGCTTATTTTATTTTTAAAAACACGACTTTAATACAAATACGTTGACAGGGTTTTCTATCGCTTTCCCTGTTCTGACTGGACAGTGGTCAGCAGAAAATAATGTACAAATTTAGAAAGTCACAGTACAAAGAAATATTATAAATATCAAGACTGAACATCTTCAATGAAACAGGCATTGCAAAGAGAGTGAGGCTCAGTGTTTTAGAATATAAAGGTTTCTATATAGACAAACCAACACACACACACACACACACTAGACACACAGCAAAACTCTGGTTTGTTCTGCAGAGGTAGGTGGATGTCTGCATAGCTCATCATCCTATGCAAATTTTGCTCTAGTCAACTGATCCAGAGCTTGGAGGAAAAGTTCCTTTTTGGACTACAACTCCCAGAACTCCACACAGCCAACATGTACTTTGGCCTGGGTGGCTGGGGATTCTGGAAACTGTAGTCAAAAAAAGGCCCTCTCCCAAGCTCAGAGCCTATCACAGACCTCTATGAATCCCTTGCCGGTGAGCATCTTCCGCACTAAAATCTTGACCAGGAAAATACTCTGGTTTTGTTCTATGTGGAACCACAGATCCAGCTTATTTTGCCAGTGCATCCTTCACAATTCCAAAGGAATATACACTACTAGAATGGGAAAAGGGGACAGACATTTAACATCTCCTGCACACATCAAAAAATCAACTAAATAACCCAACAAGAATCCAATGCAAGCAGAGAGCTTAGAGGAAACACAGAGCAATCGAGACAAAAAAGGATTCCTTGTATTGAAAAAGCATCAAAATGAGAGCATGTAAATTACTGCTTGCCCATTTTAATATATATTAAAACCAACCATGAAAAGGTTCATTAAGCCAAGGAATCATCATCATC